AAAAAAGCAGGAAGAAAAAAAGACAGTACCCTGCAGTGGCATAGCTCCCTACTGTTTGGTATCACCCTCCTGGTATCCCCTTGTCTCCTAATCCTTGCCCTCCCCCCACCTCGAGTGTCCTCTTGAGAGGTGCAATTATGTGTAACTGCCCTAGTGACACTTGCCATACACCATAAGAGAACAAATCCTTCAATGTGAGTCATGCAAAGATCTTTTTTCATCTGTTTTAAGCATGGAATTGTTCCCTCTCTGCTTGAGTAAGTCTCAAGCATCAGTTTCCTCTTCTCTGGAGAACAGACAAGGGGGTCTTGGAAGATGAGGGAAGAGGAACCAAAAGGCTGTTGCAGGGTAGTGTGCTATGGGTCCAAATAGATATTCAGAATAACACTGTATTTTATTTAGGGCTGCATACATATATAGGATTGATGATAAGGAAATCATAACAAACCTGGGTAGGAGCAGAACTTCGTGGTCTGATGTGATTAGTTGCCCATTCTGTTAAGTAACTATTCCTGATAAAAAAAAACAATTGAGCAATTTTTTGTTAGGCCTTAATGTTGGCTAACCATCAGTCTTGTGACTTTCAGCAACACATTTAAACAGGCAACAGCCTTCATACAGCCCTATGACCATCTGAATAACCCTTATCTAGTTTCCCTTCCCCTCCTCCCTCCCTGCCTTTCCTCTCTCTCTCTCTCTCTCTCTCTCTCTCTCCTCTCTCCCTCCCTCTCCCTCTCTTTACCCCCTTTTCTTCTCTCCCATCTGCTCTCCCTTTGTTCTTCCTTCCTCTCTTCTCTTCTTTCCGCTTGATTTTTTAAAAAATTAAAGTATAGCTCAATCAAAAGAAAATCTTTAAGCTGGTTTTCTCATGAATCTTTTCCTTTTGAAAAAGTTCAAAACAAATCCTTGCACTTAGTTGTTCACAATTGACTCATCTGAGAAGTAGCTTGCTAACAGTATAACAGCTACATAATCATATACTAATGTGTAGAAATCATAATTTAAAATGTCAGAATAGTTACCAGTAGAGAGAAAGGAAGGAAAACGATGTTGGAGGGACACATATCTGAACCTCTAATGACTTAAACTCTGGAAGCACATAAAGTGAAATGTTATAATTTGATAAAGCTGGGCAGAGGGTATAAGGTTATTTTTTCAGTTATTCTCCATAACTTTTCAAATATAATATGTAGGGTTATAATTTGTCAAAAAATATTCCAGGAAGTAAAAAAATCATTTTGAACTGTTAAAAGATAAACTGAGGCATATTATTAAAGGTTTTAAGAGTTTATAGGAACAAATCTCAATTTGAATTAGACAATCCAAACTGGAATTGGTTAGGAGTACTCTACCAGGAGGTGTTGGGGAGAGATGTGATTATAGAGAACAGGCAAATGTGAAGTAAGGAAATCATTGATTGGTTCTTGCTTAAAGCCTAATTGATTGTCCTTTGGTTTCAATTTCATAACCTTGAGGCATTGATGGGCTCAGATTCTAGTTTGCTTCCACAGGCCACCATGGTATTTAAGAGCCATCTTAGCATAATGGCCTTCTTGTTGAGTTAATTTAACATACCTCACCAGAAGCTGGCCCTTCTCTGACAGCTTCTCCCTAATTTCTCTCCTGTTTCACATCCCTCTTTCAGCTCACCCCCACAAATGTGCACATAAAAATGTAGGACCTGGAAAACATTTGAAATTTTCCACCAATTTCAATCAGTAAGTCGTTATTCAATTAATTCTGTATGCAGATCTTTTCTTATGAGATGAATGATTTTCATAGGCCAGAAGATAAAGAAACCTCCTAAAAACACACCATCCTACTTAGTGGCTGACAAATACTTAATAAACATTGTCTCTCTCTAAGTCACTGAGATAAGATTATGAGTTTTATGAGTTGGAGACAGTCTCTATTCACAAGGGTTTGCAGTCTAGGAAAGCATGTGCCACAAGTACCAGAAACGGATGCAGTTTTTACAGAGATTAAAGAGGTTGTCACTCTGAATTAGTCTTAAGACTGAATCATAGAATATTTTAAAAATCATTGAAATGCTTATTGTCAATTCCACTATCATGAGTTTATTCTACAGGTGTGGTTGCACATGTATGAAATGATTTATACATAAGCCTTGTTTGTTAGAGCAAAAGACTGAAAATAATTTAAATATCCATTAATATGAGTGTGATTAAACTAGGGTACATCCATGAAATGGAATAATATACAATCAATAGAATGCAGGATCCCCTATACCATAAAATGAACAGAACACCAAGAAACATTATGAAGTGAAATCAAGTAAGACAATCAGACAAACAATAATAAAATAAAGCACTAAATAAAATTGCAGTATTTTATAATCTGTGTGAGGAAATAATTTAATATACATACGTATATTCATAGACTATCTCTGTAATGATACAAAAAAGAACTAAAAATAGGATGGAAGAAATTGGATAATTGAGGAACAGATTAGGAGGGAGATGTGTATCCTTTAATGCCTTGTATATTTTATACAACGAACATATATCACATAATAATAAAATTAAGTTACATAAAAATACAAAGATGTAGGGGGTTCCGTGGTTAGGATTCCAGGCTGTAGCCTGGGTTCAATCCCTGATCAGGGGACTGAGATCCCACAAGCCACATGGCACAGCCAAAAAAAAATACAAAGAGGTAAAAAATAAATTGGAAGTAATAAGAGAAAAGAGCACTGGAGAAAAAGAATTAAAAGTAAAGACAGACTCTTTTCCTTCCTTTTTTTTTCCTTTGCAAAATATGTTTAGAATTTTTCAGTGTAGAAGATCAGTGCTCCAGCCTTTATGAAGGTGATGGATGGAATAGAAGGTATGAAGGGCATAAGAGAAGCTGATCCAGTCAGAGGGTTCAGGCAAGTTCTAGCTATAGACATCATGCAAGGATGCTAAGGCTGAGTTTCCCTTTGTGTAGAGAAACTGATGGACTTCCAGCTAACTCCTCACCCATAGACTCTGAGCTTTCTGAGGCAACGAGAGGACTGATGGATCTTCAGATCTCTCGTGTTCCCTGGGGAATCTGGCCCCAAGCTACTGATACATGTGATATGAATGACTGACTGACTAGGGTGGGACCTGGAGGTCCTTAGTGAATTCAATGAACAAGAAGGAATAGAGTTGCTATGTATTTGCTGTTCAAATTACTGTGTTTTGCCATTACCATTATCTGATGATAAAACATTGGGAAAAATTTCAGAAAGTTAAAAAAAAACAACTTGAATTTGCTGCTTTCAGGCAACTATTTTCATAGAATCTACATTGTTTTAGGTATTATAAGTAATCCAGAGATGCTTTAAAGTATACATAGGATGTTATATGCAAATAGTATGTCATTTTACATACGGGACTTGAGCATCCTTGGATTTTGATATCTGTGGGGGTTCTGGAACCAGTCCCCTGTGGATATCAAGTTATGACTGTATACATTTAACAATCCTTTTTTTTAAGCACAATGATAAATTAAGCAAAGTCATCTTCTACATTATTACAGTATAGAGTTTTGAATATCAAGATTTTTTTAAGATTTATAGTATTTATTTCCTCTCTTGGGGAACTGTGAAGGAGGACTTTTAGTTTATAGTAACATAACTCCAGAAAAACACTGCAGATTCCCATTTTCATAACTGACTATGAGGTATATATTCATATACCTACAGGTTAATGTATGAAAATGTCTTCAGTCTGATTGCTGTGCACTCTTAGCATTCTAGAATGTATAATTTTCAATTACTAAAGATGCTATTTAATGTAAAACGCATGTCTCACAGTGCATTTTTTTTTTCTTATGGTTTCCCTGAATTTCTGTTGTACCGAATTTAAAATGTGCATATGAAGGTCCGCAAATGGGTGGATCAGTAGCCAGTTATAGAGAGAATCTCTTTCTCTTTGAAACCTCTCATGGGACTTTCTCTTTTCCTGAAACGTATCTTTTGAAAGTGTAAAGTGCAAAAATTAGAAGAAAAAAAACCTCCATGGACATGAGTTGCTTTTATTCACAAAGAGCAGATTACTGTTTGTTTAAAGTCACCTTAGCAAACGGCCATTGGGAACTAGAGGGAGTCACCAGTGTTCTAACAGGAACACAGGAACACGTATCTACGCTCTCACCAGTTAAAGCTGGTGCCATTTTGAGTCCCAGTGTTGGGTTGTTCAGTCACTCAGTCATGTCTGACTCTGTGACCCCATGGACTGCAGCTCGCCAGGATTCCCTGTCCTTCACTGTCTCCTGAAGTTTGCCCAGGCTGGTGGTTTCACACTCAACCTCTTTGTCCAGTGCGTAGACCCTCTTTGATTTCTCACAGGAAGGGGATAAATGGTGCTGAAGAGTTGCAGAGAGTGCTGTGTGGCCTCCACTCCTCTCTTGGGCACTCACATCTAGTGATCTAGGATTCCTGAGATCCACTTTTAGTTCAAGGCTCTTCTTATGCATAAGCTCTATTTCTCAGCCTTTAAAACCCCATGGTGCTTCCTGATCAACACAGCCATCTCACAGTTTCTTGCAACATTTTTTAAAATTTCAAAACAAGTGGGACCAATATTGTGCCTAGAGCCAAAATAAAGTCATTTTAGTATTGAGGATGCTTTTTAAAAATTTTTATTTATTTTTAATTGAAAGATAATTGCTTTAGAGAATTTTGTTGTTTTCTGTCAAACCTCAACACGAGGATGCTTTTTTTAACCACACCGACACCACTTCGGAAATTTTAATAGCTCTGGGAGGGTGAAGACAATGAAGAGGATGAAAACTTCCTTTCTCTAAGAGTTTCTACCTTGGCTCCATCCAGTTGGATTAGCAGTTTCAAGGGAAGGACCGGACAGCTGCCTTTGACCTCTTCATGCAGCCCGATTGGGGCTCGTTCCTCAGGGAGGGGGTTGGGCTGATGGAGTAAGCTGGGAATGTGCCCCTCCTCTCACTGACCAGGGGTCTCACCTTTGGTTTTCTGGTCTTTCCCTCTTCCTTTCCAGAGCATCGTGTGCACTGGGAGGCGTCAGTGGCACCCGGACCCCGTCCTGATCCACTGCATCCAGTCCTGCGAGGTAAGATGCCCCCTCCCTCAGACCCAGACCAGCACTCTCTGCTCCGTTCAGCTCACAGGGATTTGAGTCCTTCTGGTTCAGTATCTAGCCCTTTCTCCGCTCCAATGTCCTCTGTTCAATCTCTTACATGTGGTTCCATAATCCCCAAATTACAGATATTAGGATTTCTGATTTTGCCTTTTTTAAAAAAAAAAAAGCAAAATCTCCAGGGTTCCATTTTAAATGACTAACTAAAAAATAAAGTTAAAAGCAAGTCAGAATGATTTATGGTTTGGGGATTCTCTAACTGGGCCTCACTGGAGCTTAGTTAGATCAGACGTTTGTAGCTCGATGGCCCACAGACAGGGCTTTGGCCAGGGCAGTGTCTTAAAAACAATTTTGTTTTGGTTGCTAATGCTTAAAAATTGGGATTTCCACATAAAATTCATATGTGTTCAGGTAACATTTTACATACAGCAAATAAAAATAAACATAAAATCTTTGTGCAAAGATTTTTCTCTTGAAAAAACAAGAATATCTGGCAACCGTGGCAACAATTAACTGGATCTGAGTGGCAGCTAGAACACCAGAAGGGCCGCTGCCCTCCAGTTCAGCACCGTCCTTAGCAGTCCCTGCAGCTTCTTACCTTCTGGGCTTCTCTCATTGACATCAACTGCCGGGGTCACGCAGGCATCTCAGTTTGAAACCTCTGAGGAGGACCTGTAGTCCACTGGTGGTTAACCCAAACTAGATCTTTACCACCTCAAGAAATCCTGTTTACTTCTTCACATGGGGCATCCCCCTCCCAGTGGGGAAGTTAGGGGTCTGTGAACTCCTTCACTGGATTAAGAGAAGTTATTACAAGGAAGAGTCCAGAGTGAGGCAGAGCCTTGCTTACAGAGCATGACAAAGGAATCCTGACGTGGACACACACACACACACACTCACACACGTCCTCTCACCCAGGGAATAGCCAGTAACAAATACAAGTCCTCTAGTCTCAGTCACAACAGCCTTTGTTATCCAGACCTCTCACTGGAAGTAATTCAGCCACTTGGCAGCAATGCTAACTCTGGCTGCACCTCAAACGCCAGAGGGAGCTGTTTAACTGCCCTTGACTTTAGCACCCTCCCGTCCTACACACCCAACTCTCCGTTCTTCTGTATCTCTGTTTCTCTTGATCTAATTCTGGGAAACTGGGATCTCTGTGAGGCCAAAGAGGGGGAAAGGGTGGGGTTTGAGACAAAGGGAAAACTGGGTGGGGAAATGATACCAGTAAACTAGCGTCTGGAGAGCGCATCAGGAAAAACGCTAGCTTGGAGCGTGCTTTGTTACGGTGTCGGCCAACAAAACAGCTCATCTTCTGCCATCATTAGAAAAACAGATGGCAATGGGGTGGGGAGGAGGGGGAGTGACTCATCCCCGGGAAAGGGGGTAAGAAGGGGGAAGAAGAGGCCAGGGAAGGAGGGAGATAAACAGACAGAAGACTCTGGGACGAGATCAAAGGTATCCTGAGAATTCCCTTCTGCTGCTTCCACGCATGATCGCAAGAGGGAGGGTAGACAGCAGGCCCTGGAGCTGGCTTCGGTGTTTCCCAGAAGGTTACAACACAGAGCTTTCCCCATTTGTCCTCCCTCCACGCTGAACCCAGCACATGCTCTGGTATTCAGAGCATCCCAGGCTGCTCTCAGCCCCTTTGCCGATGTGATGAGGAACAAAACTGTGTTCCCTCTTATGATCCCCCACAACCCAACTGCTATCATGCATAGCTGAGGACTGACCACTACACACCTGTTGGTACCCCCACTCCAGGGGTCCTCAAAGTGTGACCCATGGACCAGAACAATTGGCATCATCTAGGAACATGTTAAAAGTACATATCCTCAGGCTGCATCCCAGACTTTTTGAATCAGAGGCTCTGGGAATGGGACCCATCAATCTGTGTTTTTTATTCTTTATTTTTTTAATTACTTTTTAATTTATTTTTTAATTGGAGGAAAATTGCTTTTCAATGTTGTCTTTGTTTTTGCTGTACAATAATTAAATAAATTATACTTATGTATATATAACTGACTGAAGTTGCTCAGTCATGTCTGACTCTTTGTGACCCCATGGACTGTAACCTACCAGGCTCCTCCGTCCATGGGATCTTCCAGGCAAGAGTACTGGAGCGGGTTGCCATTTCCTTCTCCAGGGGATCTTCCCAATCCAAGGATTGAACCCAGGTCTCCCACATTGCAAGCAGATTTTTTTACCATCTGAGCCACCAAGGAAGCCCAAGAATACTGGAGTGGGTAGCCTATCCGTTTTCCAGGGGACCTTCCTGACCCATTGTAGGGGGGAGGGTTTTCCTCATTTTGTGGGGTGATAATTGAAGTGAGTTGTCACTGCATCCATGAACACATAATACTATCAGGTCATGTAAGTGTTACCTTCTGTCTTTTTTTCCCTTCCTGCTTCCCTCCCTCCCTCCCTTCCTTCCTTCCTTTTCTTCTTTCCTTCCCAAAAGTAATATTTATAAATTCTAACAAAATATACAGTCCTAGGTTCTACTTAAATTAAGAACATCTTGTTCTCTAGGGAATGCAAAGGAAATAAAGGCCACACCTCCAGCCTCCCTTTGCATAGTAATGACTAACTTACTTCCTGTAGGATAATTAACATTGAGTGCCCACTGACATACATTTTGGCTCTACTTTTTCTTTGAGCATGTATCTCGTGCAAGTTCATTGTGCTTCCCAGTAGCACCCATTTTGGCTTACAATTTCTGATAGTCTTTCTTCAACCTTTTGCAAGCTCTTGTAGAGCTGTACTCTTTTTTTTTTTTTTGGCAAAAAGGGAGCCATGCAGGAGGACAGAAACAGAATGTCAGAAGAATTAGGTTCAAATTCTGAGTCTACCTTTGTTAACTGCGTACAGTATGTGTCTGACTTTATCTCAAAACTTCTGTGAGAATCAAGTGAAATAACTGATTTTAAGGTGCTGTGTAAGTTGCATGTAATGTAACATATTTGTTGCAGTATTGGCTAAGGAACAATATACATCAATGTGTAAGGATGGGATCTTATTGAAAAAATATATAAATATTAAGACTCAAGAAACAGTTCATACACCCAGTCTATAGTCTTATGACTATTATTATATACTGAAGATGGCCATGGTTAAATGATGTTCTAGAGGCTTCTGATAAACTGTAGAAAAAAAGAGTTTTGAGGATATTTCAAGTAAGTTTCTCTGGGCATGCTACTATTTCTCCTATAAATTCTTATACATACCCTTGTAAATGCCTGTCATCTCACTTATCACATTATTTCAAGATTATATGACAGGTCCGTCCTTCCAACATTCTGTGAGCTCCTAGTGATAGGATGTGTGTTATTCCCTTGGAAAGCTCAGGCCTAATTCTTCAATGACTCCTGCTTCTTTCCCTTTACAGGCAAGCAGAGAGAGTTGAAGGTAGACTTTGACTTTGAGAGTCTCAAATTGAGAATGATAGTATCAGTTTTCTGAAGAATAGCACAATGGAGGGAAAGGGAGGGAAGGGACAGGCAAGCAGAGAGAGTTGAAGGTAGACTTTGACCTTGAGAGTCTCAAATTGAGAATGATAGTATCAGTTTTCTGAAGAATAGCACAGTGGAGGGAAAGGTAGGGAAGGGATAGAAGGAGAAGGAGAGAATACAACCCTGTGATGCTTAGAATCAGAAAGCCCTTGCAACGAGGGCAGCCTGGAGGAGCCAAAGGAGGCTGTCAGGGGTCTGGAGAGGGGCTTCAACCTCAGTTTCATCGCTTGGTACATGTTTCTTGAACAAGTCCATTAATTTTTCTGAATTGTTTCCTCAGTTTTACAATTAGATGGATAGAATTTATCTTTTAAACTTGTTGGTCAGATACCAGGTTCAGTAAACAATGGAGATGGACCCAGGGCCGGGTGTCATTTGGGCCTTCAAAGTGGCCCCAGAAGAATGTAGATCATGCTGATTTTTCAGAAATAACTGCAAATCTCTCTTGTTACTGGGGACTTTTCCCTTCTGTATACATTTTGATCTTGATTATACCCATGAGTCTTTCTCTTAAAGAACTCCAGTTCAGATTTGTGGCCTTCTTGGTTAGCCTTGATTTCTTATTCACTGGCTGCATTTACTTAAATGTAGGTGGGCAGTTGTATTGTTTTTACACATTTGGTAGCTGATATCAACAGTGCTTCCATCACTAATTCATTCCATCTGTTCCACCATTCCTTAGATTCTTTCTTCTGTGTTGTCTCAGCCTTGTCTCTTCCTTTCTTGTGTTATTTGTATTCCAGATGATAGCCCTGTCAGCTGTGTCACTGTGCTTCAGGATCGCTCATGGGCACTGTCGTTTCGGCCTGTACCTCTAGGATGTGGGGGCCTACATATACTACATGGGGTAGAAATAATGGCATGAATATCAAGTTTGTATTGCACCTTTTCTTCTTTCCCAAACTTTAAGCCCAGAGGGGTAGAGAGCAGCTAGAGTCAGACTAAAATGCCCCTTTAAGGAGATGTGCTTTATACTTGGGTGCAGATCTGAATGGGATAATCAGGGATGGGGTGGGAGAGGGTCACAGGTTAGCCTGCATGTGATAAATACCCAAGAAATAAGTGATTGTTATGGACTTCTACCTGATGTGTGGTCCTTTTGGCCTAAGGTTTATAAATACAAGCCTTCCCTTGGCCCCATAGTAACCCCTGTTCAGCCATTCTTTTCTTGAACTTTTATCCTTTCTATCTGTATGGTTTATCTCTATTACTGTGCTTTAGTAATGCCTTTTTCATCACTAGATAGTCACACTTTTTTTTTTTTAATAAATGCCCAAAACTTGATCTTTGAAGTGTGAACTCATGGAATTGCTACTGATCTTTCTAAGAAAAAAAAAGAAAGAAAGAAAAACAATCACCTGAGTATGTCTTTATAAATTCCTTATTAAAAAGAGAAAAGTGAGTCTTTTCGAGGATACCTGTATTCAGAAAACCAAATGTTCCAACCCAAACTTTATCACT